AACCACAGCAGTCTTCTAAACACGGTTACAGGGTTAAACATAGCTTCCAGCTAGACACAGCTAGTACTGCTTAGATTCACTAGGATAGAATCCATATGGGTTGAAATAAGAAGTTGAACCATCTGATTTTTACAACACTTGATAATACCAGCTTGTGCCTGGAAACCCAATGTATGTCAATAGTCAATGTATGACAATTGTAATTCCAGGACAAGCATCTGCAGCTACCACCAAACTCTACTTTTTATTGTTTTTAACAGGACAGAAAGCACAGTGTAGAGATTAAAGATCATTAAATTACACTTTCAAGTAATAACATGTCTCTAGTAGGTGAGCATTATCCAAAGTACATGCTGTTTATAACAGCTATCATAAAACTTGCTGCAAACTCATTTCATATTTGAAGTCTCTTAAACTATAAAACATCTGTGCAATCTTAACTACTTCCAATTGCTTTTAAATGTATCTAATTAAAATCCTTTCTTAGAATAAGAGCCAGCAGTATGTTCAATTGCATTGGTAATTTTCTTAACCAGAGATCAAGAAAGTAATTTATAGATATACAAATAGCATCTACCAGAAATTGATTTTCCCATTATTTTCATAGCACTTTTCTACAAATCATTTCTAAACACCATAAGAACAACATATCCTTTTCCTAATATACAAAGCCACTATGTATATAACAGCTTTTCTTTTCCTTCCAAAATGGAACACGTGATGTCACTATATTTGTTATCAGTTAATACTCAAATATACTTAGACCTGTAATGCTACTTCAGAAAGACAAATTCTACACGGAAAGACTAAACAGGACTATAAAACCGAAAGCAAGCTTTTTCTCATTGCACACACTGGTGCCTGCTTATACATTTCTCTGTTACTGTGAAGATGAAAAATCAGGCTAATGATTCTATTGTAGCACTAAATACATCCCGCCTTGTTGGTAATGTACAAGGTAATGTACTTACTTCATAAGTAGAAATGAGTTTTACAAGAGAATCAAATGCAGCTTGATTAATTTTTTCTGGTTTGTCATTCATAAGTTTGAAAAATATTGTACATCTACCTACACATCACACAAACACTTGAAGTTGAAAATCTGAAAAATAGTACTTACAGCCTACTTCAGTTGTGAAACTCAGATCAGTTCAGCAATTCAAAACAATTTGCAAGTGTGCAAAGAAACTGTACAGAGCAAGTTTAAAGTAGGTACGTGTCACATCTAAGCAGTGAAACTACAGAAGTTGAATATTTACCATTATTTTATTTGTATTTAAAAGGCTGTTTGTGCAAAGGTTCTACATCTGCTGTATAACTGTTCTGATGCAAAGAAATAAAGGAAGCAATAAGAGGCACCTTTATATCCCCGTGGATTTGGAGGTTACACCATTATAGCTTCAATTATATAAAAATCCCAAACTGTAATAGTTATTCTACCAATAACATAACTCACACAGGGCCCCAAGTCCTGGAGAGTCTAGATTAAAAGGAATAATAAAATCATCTATCCATACTAACTGGAAACTCCTTCCTGTTCTAGATGAAAAGGTTTAGAATACACTGTAAAATCAAAACATAAACATTTTTCTTCTGTCTCCAAAAGCCAATATAAAAAGTAACAAAACCTTTCTCTGACATGAAAATTACTTTGGTGAAAAATTAGGGGATAAAACAATGCAAATTTTTCTTTTCTCTTTATAAAAATATTTAACATAAGGGACGAGATGAGATTCTCAGACAATGATAAGAGAATAAAAATCAATTTCTTTTCTAATAGAGTATTTTATCATATATATTTTATTTTAAAAACCTTAAAACTTCTACCTCACTTATTCAGAGTTCAATGCAAACTCCACTAAAGGAAGTAAGAGTCATTCCACTAAGAGTCTATGGGATATGGATCATCATTCTTCATTGAATGTATTCTGCATTAGGAAAACTAAACAAAACCATGGTGCTAAAACCAGACAATTTTCCAAAAGGAAAAATAGAGACAACTTTGAACAATTCCTCTGAAAAGCAGTATTCTCAAACATATAAACATATTAATTCCAATGTCAAAAAGGCTACATGCTTAAAAGAATTTCTGGAGTAAGATGTTATACTGTTCATATTTATCCAGCCTCAATATTCCTTTACTGAAAACACATGTACCATATTTTGAATACTTCAGCTATTTGCATTAGATATGCTTGTTCAAATAAAGACAGAAGATAACACTGAACTAAAGAAAACAAGGTCTTTTATAATACATGAAATGCATCGCTGAGCGATTTCATTCCACCCACATAGCTAAGAGACAATATTAACTCCTACCACAGCTCTCACTGTCAAAACAATATATGCAGCAGTGGCATCTCTATGGCAATTACTATTTTACCACACTTTCATTCATACTAACAATAACATTTTTTGTTGCAAGGGGATTCACATGAACAAAAGAAAACACCAAAAGAAATCTGCCATGAAAAATGTAAGCTTGTTTACAACAAAGTTTTAACAAATGTGGAAAAATGTAAGCATTTGTTCTCTGGAAAGAAATCTTTTTCCTTTCAACTATACTAACTAATTAAAAAAGCTTACAACAGTAACTGTTAAGAAAAGCATCCATCTATTTTTGGTTTGAAGCACTAAAATAAGCTTCTGCAATATGCACCTATTTCAACTACCTGCTTTTGGTCAAATTCTCACAACTCACCTTTCAATTCAACTACATAAGAACATTGTCAAGCACATCCCAGTTGCTTTTAAGTTTAATGGCAACAGCTCGACAGAACAAAAGTAGACTCAAGAGACTCGCTTTTGTTTATCTTTGGGGTTTATTTAGCCATGCCATCTCAAAGTGTTAAAGAATCACCCATCTACCACAGTAATATCTAGTATTTCTTTAAGTAACCAGAAACCCATCTCACAGCTAACTCAACAGTAAAGACTGAAATAAAGGCAAATCTGACTCATGTATAAACACACATGGAAAAGTAGCTTTCTCCAACTTAGAGAAATGTATTTTCTTAGAGCAAACTCTAAGGAAAAATATTTTTCTATAACACCTTTATTTTCTTAATTGTTGTGATATACAACAGCGCATAAGTCTTTTTTTTCCAGTAAGGAATCTAACTGTGAATGAGTTTCTCTAACAAGGCAAGTCAGGAAATAAAATCAGATCCTTTAATAGAAACTGTAAAGTAACATAGAAACTGTAAAGTAATAGAAAGTGTAAAGTAACTTCTAAGCAAACGAGATGCATTGTGAAACAAGAGTTATTTTAAAGCAATACGGGGCTAAGACAGGAAAAGGAAGAAAAGTTCTTTTATTTCTTGTGTACTTCCAGTATGGGGATGGTTTAGGAATGCATTTTTTGTAAATGTTGCTCTTCTGCAGCTATCACATTCTGAAAGGATTACAACATAAAATCTCCATCAGGAAGAACATGGCCAGCAGCAGACAATTTTTTTGTGAATGTTACAACAGCCAAACCATTCCACCAGTTTACAGTGTACCATAAAATATTTACACAAGCTATGAACTATATTTTCAGATGAACTATAAAATATTTACACTATCAACATCAGTTAGGAAAGAATGATGTGCTGTCAAGCTGGTGTGACCCAGGAGTGAAGATTTTGTGGTTGCAGATAATATAAAACTATTGCAAATCATCTGGAAAGTTACAGGGAATATTAGGTTAAACAAATCACTGCTTCCTGGTCCCTTGTATGGTAAATGTAACCAGGAAAGGATAGCTTATATGCTTTAAGCTAAGTTTTACCAACAACATAAAGAAAGGTTAGGCTCGTAATCAAACTGTACTGACCTCTCTGAATGTTCCTTCCAGCAAGGTGTCCAGATGTTGGAGAGGAGCAGGAGTTTTGTCTTTGAATCGCGTCAGCAATCGCCGCTCAATAGCTCGAAACTGTACAGCCCTTTCAGATAACAGCTCCTGAAATTTTTCAGCATTCAAACGTAGCTGCAATTTAAGGGTTTTCAAGAGTTCAGGTTACGGGTCATACATATTTTGTATGCACGTTGCAAATGAAACAGAAGAATGATAGTAAAATTTTTGGGAGAATGTGTATTATTCAAATATGATAGCACTGTTGAAGCCAGTTTCATGTTTTAAACTCCCTGTGAAAATTATTAACTTTTTCAAGAGTTATCATTTGCCACTGAATTCAAAATTAACTGTTAACAGCCACAACATGCTGAAAATGCATAAACATCTCATCAAGAACCCTAATAACAAGAGTGAAATTTCACCACCAGGATCTCAAGACTGTTTCTTGGTTTGGTGTGCTACCTATGACACACACACAGAGTGTATTAGGCTTATATTCATTGCAGTAGAAGGCAAATGCATGAATAGAAGCACTAAATTCTGCACTGTTTTAATATCAGTCTTTTCTGAAGTGAAACAGAAAGAGATCTGGATCTGGGCTGACTCCTTTAAAAAATCCCAGAGAATCCCAACTACAACTTCCATCTTCTGTGCGATGATGGCTCCACCTTACAGAAAACCTGGCAACATGAAAGATCGCCCAGTAGCATTTCTCACTCTTGTATATATCGCTGTTGCTTTTGCCCATTATGCAGCTTTAACAGAAATTTTAAAATAGCTATTATCTTTTCTAGATAAGGCAGAGGGAACGGAGTGCATATATATTATTAACCATTTCTACAAGGTAGCAATACTACTGGAGATTTTTCATTGTCTTCTGCATGACCAAACAGGGAAAAGTAATCACATTTATTTTATATCCGGTCGGGTCAACTTCCTTGAGCCTCCAATGCTGCTTCTACAGGGGCTTCTACAAGGGTTTTTGAAAATGTGAAAGGACTTTTTATATAATTACCAGGATGATTCAGAAAAAGGAAAAAAGGAAAAAAACAAGCTCATGGCTTCATTATTACAGAAGAAGAAAAGAGCCTAAAACTAAGGATAAATTTTAGAAATAATTTTACAATTCACATGACATTAGTGAATGAAGAACCTGTGGCTTCTTACAGGCCGTGAGCAGAAGGGTAAATACTAATACAATAATCTGTATAATTTGCAGACTGCACATAAGTTATTTGCTCTCTGCTAATCACAAGGGCTGTTCAGAGGCAAGGCATACTCCCATGTTAAAATCTAAATTACGACACTGTTTTCAGCACTATCTTAGATGCAACTTTCTATTTTCTGAAGGCCAAACACCTGTGATAGCAACAGTTATAAAACAATTAGTCATACTATTAACATAAAAACAATTTTTAAATTAACAGAACATTAAAGATTCACACATGTAACATACCTCAAAATGTTGATCAATTAGTTCAAAATATTCTTGCAGGGGAACTGAACCTGAAAAGGTACATGTAAAATCTTTGCAGTTTTGCTTCTTGAAATGTTCTTCAAGTCGAAGTGTGAGCTCTTTTGTTATCAGCCAAAGGTCTTCTAACTGATCACTCTGGATCCTATACCGTTCTTTGAAAACAAGAATGAATACAACAATAAACATGTATTTTAAGCAACATGCATTCACTATAAAATGCAGTTTAGATAACATACAAATTTAACTTTGCTAAATGTATAAAACATCTTTATGAAATTTCAAATTATCAAGCTAGTGGGATGAGATTTTATTTCTGATGTTTCTAGTGCACATTTGTATAATCCTCTCTTCACTTTCCAGCAAATCAGAATTCCCTAAATGTTGAGAGGCCAACATTGTGAAAAATCATAGCAGCAGTTTAATTTTTTTAATTTTTTTTCAGATAAACACTGCCAAATGACAGTTCCTCATTTCTTTTTGCTACTCATCTACTAATACCTTATCCAAAAGCTACAAAGAAAAAGAGTTGCTGGGGTTTAATACAAAATAGGGGTTTTTTTGCTCTTGATAACAATGTTCACAGTAAATTAAATTAACCAGAATTCTTTAGAACCTGAATGTACTTATTTAAAATTTACTCAACATTAGTATTTCAAGATTGTTTGACATTACCACTGGCATCATTCCCGGGATACGTATTTCACTGAATAGAGAATGACAAATTCTGTTTACAGTGTAGCAGGAAAGAAGCAAGTTTTATTTAAAAACATGCCTGTTAAAGAAAAGAACACCATCTGCTAAAGATAACATTCAACCTAATATCCATTTTTCAAACACTCGCAATGTAATGGCTGGACTTAGTTGGATGTATCATCATACTTTAAGTGATTTTTCCTTGAGGGAAATTAGCTTAGATGTTTTCAGGCCAAATCAACAGTCATTCCATTTATAATTGACATATCTAATACATTAATGGTTTAAAATGGATGAAACTAATTTCCTCCAAAATGCATATTTAGTTTCCATACATTGTTTGTTGGTCAATACAAACACAATCTAATTTTATCTATGGCCTGAGCAGAGAGCATTGCAGTCATTTGCTTTACGTGATTTTCCAGCTCTCAAAAAAAACAAATTAGATTTAGAAACTGGAGGAAACTGAGAATCTTTAGTTGCACTAAACATGCTTTAAACAGAAATACAATAAAATGTTTCTACTTATCCTGAACTTATTACAGGAGTTAACAAATTTGGGTTAACTTTTTGTTAAAAAGAGCTTTGCTACAGAAAGTTACAACAGATTTTCAGAAAATTCTCAAATGTTAAAGCCCGAGAGCTGCTTTAGCAGCACAATAGATTACATAGATTACAAAAGCTTTTAACACAACAACAGGTTTTCCAACTAGCATAGCCTGCATGAAGAATGGTTGCCCTGCCAGTAGGTTATCTGAACAACATCTAGAGGATTCAGTTCACTTCTCAGCTTGGAAGCTCACATCAGCATAAAAATCCAGCCACAATCAGCAGTCAAGCCTTCTTTACGCTTTGAGTAAAAGGCAGTTTTAAAAAGTTTCAGAAAAAAAACCTAAAACCTTAAAATGCATGAGGCAAGCTTCTTTTTAATATGTATTAACTGCCAAAATCAACTTCAGCCTGGGCTGCTTTGCAGCAGTTCTCTTGACAAGCTGAAGTAACATGTTCAATTACTGCACTGTTCAACACAGATATGCTAATACAAGTGAAAACAAATGTGTAAACAGGTGTCACTCCTGTTTACAGCTTCAACAGTGAAACCAAACTGAACCTGGAGACTTTCATCCCTACATAGAGTTCTTCCCATTCAGAACTTATCCTTCATCATTTGATAAGGGAAAAATATTGTCCAAGATTAACTTCTTTCATGGAGAACAGGAAATAGAGATTGAAGAGTCACAATGATTTTTTTTCACTTGTCTGAAATACCATTACTTCTAGTCGCTATCTACACATATAATTTTCTTTTTGAAGAACAGTTCCATTTCCACTTTTATAAAGTATAAACTCAGTGACTAATTACAAAGCAGAATAAGGACCTTCCAAATAATATATAATTTCATCTGCATTCATTAGTTCCATAGAACATTGTCCACTCAAGCACAATTACTTTGGTATAATGAAATTCTACTAAAAATACTCTTCTATTAAGAATAGTCTCTGTTCATAAAAATATCCTGAATTATGCTTTCATAAATTTTTTCATAAGTTTTACTTAAATAACCTCTCAATTATGAACTCCCTCCCTAAGAAATTCTGTAACCAACCCAATCCAATGCATGAAGTGGATGCTGGAAACAGACTGCTAACATAGAAGGTGGCATCAGGCATTTGTTTCCTAAAGTAAGGATTCCCAGACACAAAAAATGAGTAGTCACACTAAGAGAAACAGTTATTTTGAATCTCCTTTGTAACGTGAACTTCACAAGTAAAGCAGTGTGGGAAAGTTTATAGTAAGACTGCAAGCGTCATTCCTATCGAGTGAATAAACAAACCTGAGAGGAAAAGCTTGAGAGTTTGGGATGGGGGAATTAAAAGCTACAATCTCACTAGAAGCTAAAATACATTCATCGCATAGACATAAATTTGTCCTTTGCACAGTATCAGATTTAACAACTATGCAAAACAAAGTCCAACTGAAAGATCTAAATAGTAATCCAGAAAAAAAAAATACTTATTTATAAATCCTTTAAATTCTTTAGGTTTTAGAACTATCATTGCATGTCTAGTTAGTTAAAACAGTTTAAGATCTACCCATTGACTAAACATTAAAATGAAACTAACAATAAAACAGCATGCAAATAATGCATACACAAACCAATACAAATGAATTTGAACCTCAGAAACATAAAGTAATTTTTGGTACAATTAAAGTTATTGTCCAGATGGCTTCTGTTTTTAACACTTTTGATTATATTAGAAAATGTATTAAATATTATCTCACAGCTCACAGCTGATGCCACCAATATTTATATAACCCATCACAAATACTGATTCTTTGAAAACCGTGAGGCAGATTATTTTTGCGTCAAAAAAATTTTACATCAACAAACTAGATTTTCTCACTCAAAACAGTTGTCACAAAGCATTCATGGAGTGTTCCATTTGAACCCTCTGCAACATCCAATAGGTGTTCTAGCTTTTCAGTTTGTTTGCTGTGTTAAATTAAGACTCTCCTGGCATGAAAAACGATAAACACAATTGAACTGATACGGCTCCAACATACACGCCAAAAAAGAGTTTATCGAGTTGAGTAATTGTACAGGGCAAGACCATAAACTCTCCAAAATGAAGAGAATCAATCTCTTTTTAAAGAGCACAAGCCCACAGGTGGTGGGAACAAGGCTACTTAAATCACAAACTGCTCTATACAAGAGACACTGGGTCAGGTAACAGCGTATCTACAGGAATGTTCACACATTCTGTAAACAGGAAGGATGCTGTATCCCCAGTGCCGTACTTACATCTACACATACAGACCGGCAGCTACTTAGAGGTAGAGAAGCAAGTGTGGTCTGATGCCTAACTAAAGTCCAGGATTACTGAAGGTCACTGTAGAGTTAGAAACCTGCTTTTTAATCCCTATCAAAAATTAAAATAGATGACCACTTCCAAACACAAGTGTTGAAATACTTTTGAGGAAAAAAAGATTTTTTTCTTTCCACTATTATTGTGACAGTATTCATTCATTAATAAAAATACTGCTAAAATCTTGAAGAAAATCCAATTTCTTCAGAGAATTTTCACTATAGTGTACTATATTTTGAGTGCGACTTTTTCTTTTGTTATAAAATTTTGTGCCTTCCCTAGTAACATAATTACATACTTGAGAAGGGATAAGAAACAGTCAGTTAACACTTTGAAACTCCTGTGTTAGATTTCCACATAGTGATTATCCTTTTTTGTATGATCCACATTCTCATTTTGCACATAAATTAACTGAAGAGCAGGTCTCTTTTACAATAATACTTATGGCACTTACGTGATGTTTTTGAAGCAAGAAGAGTGGTTTTTGAACCCGCTAAAAACTGAAATCCCAGAACATTTGCCTGGTCATCCACAGATGGATCAGCAAAGTCTGAAAGAGAAAGTTATATACAGTTTTCTATAATTCGTCACTGGTATTCAACAAACCTCAAGCCATTGCAAGACCATGTCAACTTTTGCAGGAGCAATTGAGGAGAGGCAATCTGATTGAGACCGCTCGTCTTCTGGCGCTCGGAAGTAAAGCTCAGCAGCAGTTTGATGCACCCTCCCCTCATGCACAATGGAAGCTGAGCCACACAGTTGTTCTTCCCCAGCCTGGAAATGACAGGTAGATTTCTCAGAGTTTCAGTCTACTATCTACAAATGAATTGTGATAGTGTACAGTCCAAAGACTATCATGTTATTCCAGATGCAAGGTCACCTTTAATTGTGATATATATGCAAAAATTATGTAGAAATTATTGTGAAAATGTTTACGCACGCTCTCTTTTCAGCACAGAGCGCAACAAACATCTAGCTTGCTAAAACTAGCTGCTCTGCAAAGTCCATGCATACACATCTTTCTTTTCATCCCATGTAATGGATCATACCACATCAAAAGGCTCAGTTTTGGAGAACCGTATTTTAAAAACTACTCCAAAACAACTCCATGTCACCTCTTCCCCCAACCTCCCCCTAAAATTAAGGCAAAACAGGGAGTAGAAGTGGTACAATTTTTATTGAGTACACCAGAGAATCCAAAGTTCCTTCACAGATCACATCATTAACAGTAAGCTTTTTTTTTTCTCCCTCCCGATCACTGAAAATGGGGTGAACAGAAATCAGGCGATTTTTAGTACCTTCTTCTGGAATGCATTAGGCCTACGCTTTGTGATATATTTCCAACAATGCATTCCTAGATTAAAAATAAAATATAATGAGCTATTTTGAAAACATTACTGCTTAGCCATAATAGAAGCCTATGATTAAAACCCCATAATGTGGACCTCTGAAAGAGAGTTTTTCTGTTTCAAGTATTACACAGGAAGCCCATTTGAGAGAAAAGGTATATTTACCCGTGAAGTGAAAAAAATCCTGCTACCAAAAAACCCAATCATGCCTACTTCACTGCTATCAGACAAATGTACTATATAAGCTTTTCAAAGAGAGATTTAGCTCCACATTAAAAATATCATATTAAAGTCATTGGCCGATGCAGCTCCCAGAAAACTACTCCAGAACCTTAGTCCTCTGAAGTTCAGAAACTTACTTACTGCTAGACTGAACTTATTTACAAGCCATTTATTCATTTCTTCTTGTGCTAATATGATCATCTAGATCCATGATACAGTCATAAAGTATTTACTGAAGGCAACTGTATTCCCTTTGTTTGCCTCTGTTTCATTAAGCTAAATGAGTCTCTTTCTTTTAATTCTCCTCTTCAAATCCCTAGATAATGTTCATAGCTTTTTTCTATACTTCTGAGTTTGAAATAATTTTTATTTAATACCAACAGCCAGCACTGTGCCAGTACATAGTGATATTATTTTTCTGTGTGGAAACACTTTGTCTAATGCATCCTCAGTTCTTATTTGTTTGCTTATGATTGTACCAGAGTATTCCTATGGTAACTTTCACCTCCTCTATCTCTTCCAAATTATGAGCACATAATTACAGCAGAAATTATTTTCATAACACTACACTTCATAGTACTCCATCTCATTCTATTTCCATTTCTAAACAGCACTTAATTCCTCTTTCATACTACTTTAACATTCTCCTAAAAATAAAACATAGCTCAGGTTTGCCCATCAGAAAATGTCACTAAGTACATGCCTTCTTTTTGGTCCAAGAAGGCTACTGAAGCAATTCAGTAAAATCAACTCCGGTCTATAGATCAAGAACTCCACAAATCTTCTCCCAAAGCACAGTGCCGTTTATGTACAATGTTTACCACTTTCCCTTTGCCCTGCTTATCTTTTTTTAAATAAATGCCCATGTTTTCCCCATTACACTACCAATGATGCAATGTAAAATGATTTTCTGGATAGATCTATATCATGCTCACTGTGTAAAGAAAAATGCAGTTTTACCAGAGACAGATATACTCGTCCAGGTGGATTATTATTGAAATATGATTCCATCATTTCTTTCAAAATATACTTTTTAAGCATTCTATCATTAGCATTGTTAATTACCTAACTACTTTGCATGGACAAACAATTTCTGTCAGAGTTTCTAACACAGTTCGGATTGTAGACATATCTAAAAACCTACCTGGAAAAATGGTGAGAAAACTGACAGGAGGTTTATTGGTATCAATCGTTAGCTTGTGGTTTGCTGCTTTTGAAGGCTGCGCTGGAAAGCAAACCAACCGCAAAGGCAGCCTGAAGCTACACTGTGCAACTTTTGGAATTCCTAAAATAAAATAAATAAAATAAATAAAACCAACCAAAAAAACAAAGCAGATTCATCTTTCAAATCCATATTGTGAATACACAATACTTCATACTGCTGCCCTCAGAGATATAGAACAATATTTTAATGTGATTAAGGAATATGTTAAAATAAAAGCTATGTAAAAATCTCAATTTTTGTTAAATTTTCCACCTGAAATACCTTTAAATTTGAATACTTTTAATTACATTTTCAAATCACCATTTTCATCTCAATGAGAAAGCAAGAGGTATTCGCCAATGCACCGCATACCTGTATTTATACCAATTAACATGCAATGAAGATTAACATTTAATTAATGCTCCAGATAACTAATTCTACCTTAACAGAGATGACAGCTGTGTGATTAATCCTGATGCTTCAAATATAAAACTGAAGAATGTACATTACATTCTCATCGGCAATATCACAAACTAAAGCCTTCTTAAGAACACATTTGCTTTTCCTTTATACTCTTAAATAACATCTATGCAATCTTGATGCGTCAGGGTTTTGTGGCTTAGGAAAAAAAAAAAGATCTAATAGAAAAAAATATCTAATAGAGATTATTACCCAAAGGTATATTAAATTCTATCTTTCAACTTACTGCATCATAACAGAACTCTAAACCAAACTGGTAACTTCCTTTGGTACTGGGATCTAATATCAGATGCAATTTTATCAGAATTGTACAAGAGAAAAGAGGAAGTTTAACACTAACATTTAGAAAATAGGTTCATAAGAATGTGTCAGAATTTTGCTCAAATATAAAAATTGTTGGCATGTCAGAAATTGCCCAGTATTTTTAATGTGAAAGGTGACAGTGATAGTTGCTACAAAATACAGAGTTCTTGCTCTTTTGGGCAGTCAGACCATGGAGTTTTTGAATAAGATTTTTTTTTCATGAAGCAGCTAACAGGGGAAACTCATTTTGCCTGGGTACAGATATCACTGTAGGTACCAACATTGGTCTTACTGGGAACAGTATGAATGTCATAGCAACAGTCATTCTCTCCAAAAGAACACATGGAACTCAAACATTAACCCCAACACTCACCTCAGCAGAATTTAACCAAGTACATTTTTAGAGAATAAAGTAAACTTCTGCCATGGATATAATCCATGAAGACAGAAAAGTCAAGAAACTGATAACTACATAGAGGTTATCAATCATGTAAGCTTAGCAGGTTAGTATCAAAATACATCTCAACCATTTAACAGTCATCCAAGCAACCCTTTTTGCTAACCATTTTTCTTGTTTGTTGCTTCACATATCTCTTGCAATGAAAAATTATTTCTAAGACCTATATCAGGAAAAATGTTACAAGAAGGCTCAGATTCATCCCTCTGTTGTCAATTCATTAGCTTTTTTGGCTGGCTGGTAATACCTCTAAGTAACTATTCTGCTGCAGTTTGTAAAAAAAAAATAAAAATAAATAAAATTGTCTAAAATGAGCAAAAGGCTTAAGACAGGTCCTCAAAACTATGACATCCCTGAGTTCCAAGGAAAATTCCTAAAAAAGTACTCTAGAATAAACCCATGACCTTTCAGAATGATTCATTCAACTGTATCTTCATCATCTGATGGTAAAATTAAAATCTTTTCTTGATGACAACATAAGACAAACATTTTACTGTTGAACTGAGTATTTGGCTTTGGGTGGGGACTGGGGAGATTTCTATTTAATGAGTCCAAAAACAATCATATATAAGAAAATCAAACTAAAACGCTCTGACAAGATTTATCATTACAGTGGAAAAACTCTTGCTGGGCAATGCTTTCAGAGTATTTCAGAATTTTAAATGGTAGTAAAGAAACACAAAGCAATAGCAAAGCATGGGAGCCAGGACTTCCTCAGTCCTTCGGTGCTAAGTCTAGTAACACATTCCATTCCATCTGGAGTTGCAACACATTGCACAATACACAATTTTAGAACTGTATTACAGAAAAAAAAAAAACATGAAAAAACTTTCAGATTCTCTTCTAGTCTGAAAAACAACAGAAATTTTGTAACACTACCTTGTAAGTTACTACTATTTAAAGGAATATTATGCAGTTACCTGATAAGAGTAATAAAAGTTACATGCACTGTAGTTACAGTTTTACTTCCAAATTACTCATGCATTCATCTTAACTATATTTGAAAAGTAACATTGATTTACATGACAAAAAATATTAAGACTCAGATCTCTAATTTAAGAGGTTAAATAGTCAGAAAATTTGTGCTTTTTCTGATATTGATGACCCTGAATTTAACTAGTCCAGTAAACCTCACAGTAACCCAGTCAAATTTTGTCCCAGATAATTCTACAAAGTTTACTGTGCTCCACAATATTCTCTTCAGCATCAAGTTTTCATCTCAAGTAGCAATTTCTTAAAACAAAACTCAAATCTTCATTTGCAGAATACTACCTTTTCAAATAATATGCATTTATTTTTATATAGTTTATTTATATATTTATTTTATTTTTAAATATTTTTGAATTATTTTGTATAGCTGAAATCTGCCACATGGTTATAGCTATTCTTGCCAAGAGCAATATTTTACTGAGATGGTTCAAGCATCTTTTTCTTGTATGGCACCTCAATATCCTCTCAAATATCCAGAAACCAGAAATACTCCCAATTAGAAAGCAGCCTTTTAGCCTTTAAAAAGATGTTTCCAACATGAATTGGAATGAAGAGACGCTAAGTGGCAATATTCACAGAGCTACTCAGTCCAATCCGCATAGCACTAGCTACAAATCCTTAATAACTGTTACAGCTGCATCAAAGAAGCTATAATTTAGCTGCCTAAGTTCTTGCTGAAACTTGAAAAAATAGCTAAAAATAGGGTAAAGAAAGAACATACACCTGTGTTTTCCACTTCCAATGTAAATGCACAAAGCAATACTTTACAAAACTCCTGTTACATACGAGTATGTACAATATATTTCAAGAAATGTCTTTACTACTTTCTATTTACCTCATGGCTAATTGTCTTCTAATGCCTAAGCCTCATTCACTTTCAATTTGCTCAAATATTCAAACTTTCATAGGATCACACCAAGGACAGTAAGAACTTACAGAAATAATAGGTAAAATAACAGCTCCCTCCCAAATCTGCTTTATTCACCATATGCTGTCACTCATGAAACCATTCAAACTTTGCATTTTTTTCCATCACTCACCTTCAGGATTGAGATCTACCATATGACCAGCAATGGGAGAAAAGAAGAAAAAAGAATACGTAAGATGCTACTCAAATAAGAAATAAAAGGAAATGTAGTAACAAATTCTAAAGAACTTAAGCAATATTTATTAAGTAGACAATACATAAAAGACTTAATACTAGCCAAAAACCAGGCATGAGACCACATTCATCAATAGGGGAATCCCATCCAACTGAATGACTCATTAAGGTTTCAGCCACATGAGTCCCACAGAGATACACTGAAGACTGATCTGGACACAAATATGGATAACTTTAAAAACAAAAGAGGAAAAAAAAGTCTTTATTTGGTTAAAATTAAATCACAAAGACACTTAACTTTTTGGTTACTAAAAAGATTTGACTGTCTTGTACAAGTAACACCAGTATCATATGTGACTGAATAGCATTATTACCCCAGCTTAATAATTTAAATGAGTATTCAAAAACTTAACAAGCTATTAATTATGCTTCTTCACTTAGAAGTCTTCCAAACCCTACCATTAAAAGTAAGAGTTTTTAAAATTTCTTCTAGAGTTCTCTGTGTTAGCTGTTACGTCTTCTGGAATTTTTTTTAATTGCATATAATCTATCAACCATACTTAATATACAGGATTTCATTACTTTCCTTACCAAAAGGCTTGCAAAATACAACCTAATATCTAAAATATAACTCTAAGTTTAACTAGGATTACCTGAAAGAAAGAATGCATTCATTTGCCGCTGAGAAATGCCCTTTGAGACTCCGATCTTGCAAAACAAAAACTACAGAAGCAAGACCAGCAAAACAAAAAGCAACCTTTCAAAGTCAGAGATTTTGAAAGGTACTCAAAAGTATACTACCCATATTTTTGAAAGGTACGTACACTTTTGAAAGGAACTCAGAAGTATATTACCTATATGGTTATACATAAAACCTGTCTAAAGCTATATCCTTAAGTTGGACACTTATGAAGGTACAGCATCCCATTCACAAGGAATAAGCAGTGACAGTACAGAGGGACTCATATTGTACTGTGCAGGCTCTCAGGAAAGAGGGAGGAGCATGCTATTCTCTCCCACACTTAGCACACATCTGCAAGCCCTTCCTAAAGAGGGTAAGATCAAATTCTTTAAAAATATGAATTTCAGTTTTGTCTAGAAACAAACATTTCAATCATCACACAGCCTAGACTATCATAAATACAATGTTTCAAGCGTGAAGTGATGTGAAGTAAATGCTTAAAGTGTCTACATAGGATGAGGTACTCAGGACCACCACCCCTAATTCCATGTGCACTTCTTCGATGCCAACCTACTCCTTGTCATCCTTCCATTTGTGCCGGCACAGCTCTGTGTTTGCACAGTGAACCAGATCAGCAAATCTGGCTGAGAAATAACCATTGATTCCGTGAGCATAACAGTGGAGGAGGTGCAGGAGCAAGGCCAAGCAGTGACAAGAACAGCGAGGTTAAACTGGATTATGCTGCATTTAACTTGCAAGCCTCATTTAAATACAGTTTGTCAGTGGCCTTACACACTCACAAGACTGGCTGTAGAAAACTATCCTTCACTTGTGGATTGCAGGGTGAATTTACATATTCTATCACTTAAGGTCATTAGGGCCTTATGAAACAGAATGACTTAGTTTCTATCCCTTTGGGTTAGTTTGTTTAGAATGAGTATGTTTGACTGTTAAAAGGGAAGTGAGAAATACTCACTCCCAATGCTTACTCACATCTCCTCTGTGGAGAGGCACTTATTGTCACATTTGTTGGCAGCCCAAAAGGCTGAATAGTCACAAAGATGCAATTAACTTCTCACTCTTTAAAGAGCAGAACAGGAACAAATCGATAGGACAGGGTGGAAGAGCTTGTACAGCTGCTTCCCAAGCCATAAGCATACGTTTCGACCTCTAGAAGACCAATTACATAACTTAATGATGCTATATAAAATATTAACTAAAACTGAATACTAGACTCCGATACACATTATTTCTTTAATTACTATGGCCTTGAATACATTTCAAAAGAACATTTATAACAAATATGTAAAAAAAAGGTAAATCAATTTGAAATCTCCAGCTTACCTGTTGGTATATTATAGGAAAACACACAATTTCCTTCTAGTTCTGATGGAGAACAATTCTCCTTCAAAAAGACAGACAGTACCACAGTTTCAGATGAATCTGGTTCTAAAAACAATACAAAATTAGATCAAGTAATAGAAGAATCCAAATGAAAACAACATAGGTTCTAAGATTTTGGGAAATATTCTACTAAACTATTATAGTTGTTTCCATCAGTCGACTTTATCAAATCACTGGCAGGCTTTTTTTTTAAGTCTGCAATGTGTAAAAATTAAACCAGTCTCTCCAACTTAAAACTATCTTTAGCATAACCAATAAAACAACTCAGCACACTGAACACAGAGAATATCAAAAGAGGACACACTTCTCTGGTCTTCAGCCCCACAGTTTTTAAGAAAATCTTACTTTCAGCCTTATCAACAGTTGGGAAAAGGCTAGCATCACCGAAGAGTAGATGGTAAACTGGGAACACATGCTAGACTGTCCACAAGCAAATAAGTTCTCTGTCCCTGCTTTTAGCTGAGCAGGGCCATTTCTACATGGAATTGCCCACAAAACAAAATGCCTCAGCAAGAGTACGACAAAATAATTTGCCCCCCACGCCCATGATGAAGTTGCCACCCTGCCTTTCTGCACCTGCCATGCAGCATACTGTAACGAAGGCAGTAACTCCATGCCCTTCTACCTGCCTTCCTCCACCAAGCAGTACCTAGAAACTGTGGAGTGCAGGGAAGGCAAATTGTAACTGCTTTAACTGCAGTGTATCTGCAACAAGGCACTCAGTGGAGGCTGGACTATACCTTTCAAATATCCTCAGAAAAAGTAATATGATACAGTAGCTCTAACAGTACTATAATAATTTACCTAAATCATCAAAGACGAACTGGTCACAGGTCACTGCTAACGGAGCTTGTACACATACTGCCAGGTTTGGTTTCTGCGCAGTTACTCTGCTCTGTGTTGTTATCTAAATCAAATGACATACAGAGGTATTTAAAGGAAGCGACAAATTCATCTCTGCATAGCAGAAAACAAACATAATCAGAAAAAAGACAAGAAAAACGTGCAAATAGCAATTCAGCGAACATGTCTAAAAACTTCAAATTTCAACTTTTAAACCAGTATGCTCCTTTTACAATTCTTATTTACTTAGAGTCAGTAATAAAACATAATAACTGAATGGTTACAAAAAACTAAAGGCATTTCTCATGTTCTTTGTAATTTTAATCCAAGACAAACTAAATGCTAAAGCGTTAATATTAGTATTTTGCAAGTGTCACGTGCATTGGTTCTAATGTTGCCTTTTTTAGGTGACTGAAGTGAAAAAACAGTAAGAATATAACCAAAGCTAAGTAAAGAAGTTATTTCCCTTAACTGCAAGGAGCAATGCGCAGTCTTCTGAATAACTCCAGAATCAAGTTCTATTTGATTTGGGTTTTTTACTGCATGCAAATTCTAAAATTCAACATACAGGATACCCAGCACTCTGGATTATACAAGCTAACCTGGAGTGACGCTGGTTATTTCTATTGTGGGCAATTACTTCTCTGCAAAACCTATGGATATCAAAAGAATGTCCTAAAATGAAAGTATAGTGGTGACTGAGATCTGAATGTCATCTGCCTAAGCACAGACCGTATCTGCTGCTATTATCATCTAGTTTGTACTGCTGGTCTACCACAGAGCTCACTACAACCAGTTTAAACAGTTTAGGAAAATATTATTACCTATAATATTACTCAAATGGTGGGAATTTTTTTTAGAGCACAAATCATTGCCTGCAGATTTTGGGGGTAAAACGATCACCATTACAAGGGTTAAATAATATTCAGTAGTAACATTACCTACTTTGCAGAAAACATGCAAAGTATACATGTATATTGGCAGCAGTTGTACAACCCAAGAAACCACTTCATTTTAAAATTTATAAAAATTGTTCTCGACTTGTCCAAATTCAGTGGTTAAGTTCAAATTAGTCTGACAGAAGTCATAATATGCAACAATAACATACAACCATTTCTTACTTTCTTAAGAAGCAATGATTATAACTTTGTAAATATTAAAGAGCTGAATCCATTAATTAAACTCTTTTCCACCAACTGCAATTAATCAGAATGTAGACGTATGAAGATCAGTTAAATATCTTATCACAGGAAAAAACATTCTGGAAAAAAATGAATGCATGGTAACTCCTACTATTGTTTTGGTAAAAGGTGTAAGATTCATAAACAAGAAAACAGAACAAAGAATTATAAAGTCTTCTCATAAAAAAACTTACCAAACACATAAACACATCTATGCTCATTTTAAACAATGTCTGCCATTGGTCTTACAATAACAATAATAAGCAGATGAGAACAACAGGAGTTATTTGTGTTCCTGGTACTGAAATAACCACTCTCCAAAAATCAAATTTGGCAATTATAAACACAATACTCTCCTACAATATATTGACTCAAATGTAATCTAAAACCTGATAACTTCATACCTCTCTGGAGGTAATTTAAATTTACATTACATATTTTAAGGTATTCACAAAAAACCTGATTCAAAGTTCAATGCTATTAATCTGAACTTCTTTGAGCAAAACTGTGACAGACTTTATCAGGATTTGAATTTTATCCTGTATCATTTTTGCATTTAAAAATGCAGAAAGATGTTGGACCACGTACAACTAAAACCGTACCAGTGTAAGGGAATCTGGTTGTATAAATAGTCCAATTACCCTCTTAACTTTGCACTCAAGACAGAGGGAGGACTTGCAAGGTTCTCAAAAATAAGGCTCCATGGATATTCCTAGAATATCCCCTCAATCCCCAAAATAAAAATCACAATCCATTTTAGACAATATGGAAGAGAAATTGCACTTGCGCACACACACACACAGTCACACTTTCTTTAGAATCAGTTACAGGCAAGAGCTCTCCTGAGGACTGTAATGATGTCAATTTTAAAATTAGATTATCCTGTTTTGGTTTTTTTTCACTAGCAAAACCTATGAAAGCCTTATTAAAAAAGAAAGTCTAACTTTGTTCATTGGTAGCTAAAAAATGCAGCTAAAGATAACACAACTCACATTTTGAATAACCACACATTTATTCTCTTTAAAAAGTGTTGGGGAAAATCATTCTTAGAACTTAAAAACCAGCTTCACTTCATCCTAATAATGTTTTTGTGTCTGTTTCTTGATAAGCCTACCAAAACCAAAACTTCAATCACTTTCTGACTTCAGCATAAGGCTTGCTAGAATGGCACCTTGTCATACTAAGGAGAAAAAGAAGTAAGTGCATATTGCATTTTGAGTTTTACTCATTTTCTTGATCTAATTTAAATACACAGAAAGTGACAGGTTTATTAAAATTTATCACTGCTATCTGAATGCTACTGTTTGAGTTAGGCACAGTACCTTTACTGTGACTGATGGTACTGCCTCTGCTTTTACCTCACTGTCAATGGCTTGCTGTGAAGAAAAAGATGAAAAAGAGTAAATTCAATATTACACATGAATGAGTGAACACAATGAATGCAATATTACTTTCCTACCATCAACTAGGTAAACAGGGAATTAACAGTAAAGGACTTATCATTCCAGTGACAGATTAAAATACACAAAATACATTTCTGAGTTCCTTCTGAAATGTAAAGCCTCTGTTTGAAATTGCCTGCAAAAAGGGTAGCAGAAGGTCATGAATGCTGTGTATATAAGAAACTAATATGCTCTAATGTATATATGAATATTTGAAACTGTTTTGTTTGGCACACTGCTTTCTATATTTACTTAAATTCTGAAAATATCTTCTCTTATTCAGCAAGGAAAAGTGACTTCCAATCTGCCAATATCGTATATACACACCATAGTATGTACTATAAAATCACCACACACTACCTTATAATCAGAAATATATTTTGAACTTGAAAAGAAATTAAAGCAGGCATCTTGCTACTCCCGCTACTTGCAATTTCAATAGGCAATTCCATCTAATTCAAAATTCAACTTGACCTTGCAGTCTACTTTAATATATTATGCTTATATTTCATTTTGCAACAGTTCAGTCCCTACGATTTTAAGAAAATATTCCTGTTCATTTAAACAACTATTTTAGCTTAGAGAAGCACTTCACTTCTGCTATGATACAAAATTACTGACTTGAACTTACACCTCCTCATGATAGAAGAGTAAATTAAGAATAATCTGATGGCTTCTACCCACCATGCATTTCATCCCAACATGACAGTATAAGGTCTAGTTACAGATGTTCTAGTGCAATTAGTATGTTCTGAAATGTTAAAGCCAAAAGTTTTAACAGACAATATAAGCTCTCCTGATCCTTAATTTGAATTAATTTTATAAACTGCATATGTGTACAGGATGAATAAACTAATTAGGCTGCAACACCAGAGAATATTGAATGAAGCCTTGTCAGAGATGCATTTTTAAGCAATTCATGTATTCTATCTTTAAAATATCCACAGGGTGACACTTTTCCCCCATATTAACTGCTCACTATTACAAATTCTTAGCACTTCAAACTTTTTCCAGATCTCAAGTTCTCATCCATTTATGTTTACTTAGCCAAGATTAAAAAGGTCCTCAGATAGAAGATACTAAACCTTTTTAGCAATTTGAGTTAAAATCATTAACAAAAGTGTATTTTAATCCATGGAAGACTGGGGGCTACGAAGAAGCTCAGTCCAACATATACAAATACACAGTAATCACTACCCATGATCAACCATCATTTACTCATGTATGAAATCAATGTTTTCAGAGTAATTTCATTTTTATACAGGTACATACAGATTCTGCATCCAAATCGGGTGAAACTTCCGCTGTGACAATTACATCTCTGTGTTTTTCAGATTTGGGTAAAATATCTGAAAGAAAAAAAAGAAAATGTCAGCTCTCCTTCAACAATCATGCAGCTATATTTCTAAAAATAATACAATATCAACAGCATTGAGTTTCAGACTTACATCATTTCACCTACTAGTGTAAAGGAAAAAAAATTTACAATGCATATGATTTTTTGACCAATGAAACTTTCCAATTTTACAAGATTCCTACAGACAAGCTAAACCTGGATCTCATTCTGGATTTCTGATTTATGTATGAAAAAGGTTTAAGCTGCATTCTATAATAAGATTTTACACCCACTCTCCATATTTTCAGAGACTGAAAGGAACTTCCACACTTTTGTCCTTACATGGATATACTAACCCACCTATAAGAAGCAACAATCTCCAAAATACACACCGCACATCTCATGGCACTTTCATCTAAGTAATTTGATAATGAGTATGTCAGGCACAGAAATAGTCTATGTCTAAAATAATTTTAGAAATTCCTCTGGAAGTTTTATGTACAGAACATTATGTGGGCCTTGCTTACAGTATATTACCTGATGATTTCCAGGACTGTCAATATACAAGGCAAGCAATGCTGCAAACTCATTTATATCCATGATAGAAAATCTTATAAAGATTCACATAGGTAAAAAAACTGGAAGGATTAAAAAGTAGGCACTTAAACACTATAAGGAATTACATAATCTCTTAAGAGTCTAAGATATACATATTACTTGAATAACCGAGAGCAGGAGCCCATTCAGAAAGCCACAAGAATTTTACTACATGTAGGGTCCCCAAAGTGACCCACAACTAGCAGGCAGCACATTATCTATTTCCAACAACAGTGTCAAGGGACAGGATTTTGATGAAGACAAAAAATAAGTTTTCATTTTCTTGTGCTCAGAGAAAAATGACTCCCCTTACTACAACAAAAAAAAAACAAACCAACAAACGGAAGCATTTTCCTTTGATACCACCTCCCAAAGAAGCCTAGGCCACAACTGCACACAACCAGTTCTGCCAACTTCACAAAGCTCAGCACAATCCATTCCACTCATATAGGTCTGAAAATATCTCCCCTTTCTATCCATTCTTAACCATTTCTCTTCAGGTTGCTTCTTTAAACAATCTGTGATGCAACTTTTGTCATACAGTTATTTTTCTATTAGAAATAGGACAGAGATCAGAACCAAAGTTTTACATCTAAGTATCAGCTTTTTGTTACTATTAAACTGAGCCAAAACACCTATGTTTAATCACTTACATCATCTGGACTGATGCAAGTTACATTAGATTTAAGTTAGCATAACAGTTAAGATTTTGAATATTTCATCAGTTTATAGTGTAAATCTTTATTCTTCAAAATGTATAAAACAGCTTAAGTTCAACAGTTTAATGGTCAGCAATGGACAGAAATACAAGACGTTTATGGAAATAAGTACTCTTAGGGTTTTTTTAAGTGATGACCTAATTCGAAATATCTTCCATGTTTGGAAGTCAGAATGAAAGAAAGAAAAATTATTTCCATATAAGGGTAGATATTTTCAAAATAACACAAGCTCTTACTGCACCAACATGACTCCAAAAGACAGAAAAGTAAATGGCTCATTTTAAAGATTATGCTTAGCAGTAATTTAATGATGGTCAATGTTCAAAAGCATTTTGTATTCAGCCAGATGTGATTAGCAGTTATTTTAAGGTTTACTTAAGGTCCTAAAAAAAAAGTCAAAATTAAACAAGCCAAACATCCAAAACTCAAAGGCCTTCTTAAGTAAAATGTTAGTTGTAAAAAAGGTTCTCACACAAGTTTTACACCCAAAGCCAAACACATCATTTGAGCATCTCTTCACAAGAAAAAAAAGCATCCATAACAACTCAGCTGAAAACACCACTGTAACACCTTAGAACAGATCAGAAGACAAAGAAAAAATTAAGAGGAAACAAGAATGGGGAAAAGATCAACACTACTGACAGTAAAGTTGTCAATCCCGTCATGATACGTAGTAGAGGGGTCATAAAGGATAGCTGTTTCCTTTCTCTCTCTCTAGATCTTCCACGAAACTTGTTAAAACTAACAAATTGATTCATTTCAGAGAGATTTATTTCTTCCAGCATGCTTTCCTTTCTTTTTGTTATAATAGCCAAAGTTATCAAAAGTTATCAAAGTTATAAAAAACAAGGGCAGTAGTAAAAAACAAAAAAAAAAAAAAATCAATGGACATTACTCATATCTATATGCTTAAAAACCAATTATTTTATTTGTAAATTTAAAAAAATGGTATTACTCTATCACAATAATGAACAAAGTCATAGGCAATCATTAAAACAAAAATCTTTGAGTTGTAAAATCAAGCTCACAAGTGCAGATAAATAATTTCTTATTTGCCAGGGATTTCAACTGTGAGCTTTTTTGCCCTATTTTTCACACAGTCAGTCATGACTATTTCTTTAATGCATTTTAAGGACTTGTTATCATCAGGAAAAGATTTTATTTAGTTCCTTCTATTTGTCTAAAATTTTTCCAGAGTTTCCTGTAAAACCACATGCTTCCAACTTGTCGTGCAAGTCAAATACACTCCTTAAAAATACAGTTATGAAAACACAAACTTTGAAGTATCTCCGTAGAAATTATGTGCCCTTACTTCAACAAAATCGATGCAAGTTATTAGCAATGTATATAAATTCCAGAATTTATCATTATCAGTTATTTGGGTTTTGATATCTCTCACTATGCTCTTCAAATGCAATCACTTTTGAAAAAAAGTTACAGAAACAGAAAAGTTGATTTAACAAAAGTAATTTTTTGTTAACTGCATGACTTAAGAAGCAATTTGTAATAATAAAACAGAATTTGGCAATACTTTCTCTTTCTCTGAAGCCTAAGTGTATCAGACTGTTGTTGTAAAAAAGTTTTCTTGCCTTTGGATAGTACATGCACTCCGAACCCTTGAACTAGTGAGAATTACCTGCAACCTGCCATAAATATCTTGAAAGTTCCAACATGCATTATGAAAATACAAGGAAAAAAATCCTTATCCAAGGGCCTTACAGGATTTTGCTTGTATATTTTTTAATTAAAACATAAATTTTATTAAATATTACATTTCCTACAGAAATGTAACTATGCTTAAAGTATGAAAATACAACAAAATATTTTAAAGTGATAAAAGGAAAGTCAGCTGGTTAAAACTACGTATAACTACAGAAAAGGTATAGGTATACCTTGCTTTACTGTGGCCTCCTTGATGATTTTCTGAAGCTCTTTCATTTCAGCATCATATTCTTCATAGTTTATTTCCCTAGAATCAATCCTAGGAGCCTGGAAGATTGAAGGATCAGTTCCAAGGTAGGAACACTGAAGGTGTCCATCATCACTCAGAGTGACTATAACACCCTTCAAGTCTCTGCATAATAAAAACAAAGATCATTACAAAATTGGGAAGAATCGCAGAAGCAATAACACTGAATTTATGCTGCTTCTACTGTACCAGCTACAAGTATAACAGAACTTCCTGGCCTTAATGAGATTTTTTGATAAAAAAATTCAACACAATTCCAATGTGATTATTAACGTCATTCCCAGTTATTGCGATAATCACACCTGAGAATCAGTCTGTGCTTGATATATGACTAAAACATCACCCAAGTATCTCAGAATCTGCATAATCAGGACAGGTAAAGGAAAGGATTCAGAACAAACAAGCTGAGTAGACAGTACATTTGTTACCTTATTTTTATTTACAAATTTTTACCTAAGTTTTTTTTGAAGTGTGGATATTTAGGCTGGCATGCAGTACGAAGAATTAGCTAAATAGAACCAAATAAGAGAAGGGAAAGGATACATTAGAAGAAATCATGAACGCATGGGACATGTTCACAGCAAAGACAGGAGCTGGACAGGATCAGCAGCTCCCCAAACCCAGCCTTTGGCTGCTACTGCAGCTGCTGTGCTGGCTTCAAACCCTGGCTGGCTCTCCCCTGCAGTATCGATCTGAAAGGAAGCCACATGGATCCAGAATATCCCCCTTACACTGCTCAGGATCAATACAAACGACTGTTTTATTAGCTCAGTTGTGTCTCTCTTGAGGGAACAATACTTCATTGAACTTATGCCTATAAAAATCTCGCTCATTTTGTTTATCTCATCACATATCATGTATATGCAAGATTTAGGAAAGTATTTAATAAATTACGAGACAACTGGGAGTACTGTCAACATTTTGCTTAGCTTGAAGGTTATTCCTAAACAGAAGAGGAACTGATCTGAAGAAAGACTAGCATATATGTTAACAGCAAAAGTCAGAAGAAAGCTAACTTTCATTTAATTTTTTTAAATGCTTACTGTTAATTAAAAGTTTGTATTTATTTTTATAATCATGAAGTGATACATCCATGCCAATAATTTGCTCTCATTCCATGCTTAGCGTATCTTATAGCAGACACTGCCATTGCATCAAACACAACTTTCATACAAAGCAAGTGTATATATATACAATATATATATATACTTGCAAGTATATATACTCTCTCAAGCAGTTCCTTGTCCCTCTTGAACTGAGGGGCCCAGAACTGGACACAGTATTCCAGATGTGGCCTCACCAGGGCAGAGGAGAGGGGCAGGAGGACCCCTCTCGACCTACTAGCTACTCCCCTTCTAATACACCCCTGGATGCCCTTGGCCTTCTTGGCCACGAGGGCACATTGCTGGCTCATGGTCATCCTGCTGTCCACCAGAACCCCCAGATACCTTTCCCCTACACTGCTCTCCAGCGGTTC